GAGGAGTAGGAGGAGCAGGAGGAGGAGGAAGTGGAGGGTGGAGGAGGAGGAGGAGGAGGAGGAGGAGGAGGAGGAGGAGGAGGAGGAGAGGAGGAGGAGGAGGAGGAGGAGGAGGAGGAGGAGGAGGAGGAGGAGGGCTTCGGTGTGCGTGCCTGTGGGAGGAAGCATTCGCCCGAGGCCCTTCCCGAAGCCCTGAAGAGGACGGTGGACAGGACGAGGGGGCCGGGTCCAACCCGGAGCCCATTTTTTTCAGGGACGGCACCTGCCGCGGTGAGCGTGCAAAGAAAAACGCAGTCCAGCTGACCGGATGTCTTGGACAACCAGTGAGCCAGAGTTTAGGGGCCCCCAGTCGGTGCGGTGACCACACCGTGTGGTGAGCCAGTGGGGTTTGGGGTCAACGCTCGACTTTGGGGACTCCAGTCGATCTCCGAGGACGTCGTTCAGTTTGGGGGGATAGGCTCAAGGCTTTGGGATGCAGGACCAGTTTCCCTGTGGACCCGCTTGTTTCGTGCCATCTTCTCTTCCAATTCGGCTTCGGGCCAGAGGGAGGTACAGTCGAGGCGCTGAAGAAGGAACCCTTTTCGTTGGGGAGGGGCTCGGTGTTCCTTGATTGTTTCACAGCTTGCCTCAGGTTTTCCTTATGTTTTCGATGGGAAATCGAAGTGTAACTTGTGGAAAAAAAGGGCCTCGTTCCTTATTTAGGGTTCCTTAGGTCCACGCCCCGACTGTAGAGGGTCAGGAGAGGAACGTGTCCAGATGCCGCTGCCCTTCCCTCGTCGCCACGGCCGGATCCGCCTTGGAGGTCTGGTCAGAACGCACCCCGGAGAGGTCTGGGCGGCGACGGCGGGAGGAGGGAGGATCGGAGGAGTCGAGGCATCGGCGGCCTCTCGGGGCTTGGGAAAGAATGCTTGGCAGCTTTTCAGCAGGCTTTCGGAGGTTTCCCGCACCCTGGACGGTCACTGCAGCTGCACCTCGTAATGGGCGTTCTGGGGATGCCGGAATCGTCCCGAACGACCGCCCGAGGCCCGAGTGGTCGCCCGAGAAGGATCTGGCGTTTTGCTTCTTTTTTTGAACATCCTGGGGGCCTCTTCGTTGCCACGGCTGGATCCGCGTTGAGAAGTGGGCCAGACCCTGGGAGGGTTCCGGGGGCCGACTCTGAGCGGAGTTGAGCCGAGGCGGGAGGGTCGCCGTTGTTGCAGCTGGCCCTCCGGAGCTCCTCCTGCCTGCCTGCCTCGGAGGGGCTCGATGTATAGAACGCGTCGCTGGGTCGGCCAGAGTCAGGGGCAACGTCAGGGGAGGAGACCGGCTCAGGGAGATGCATCGATCCCCAATCGCCCATTCATCGCTGACAGCGGAGCGTTGTCAGAGCCACTACACATTTCAATCCCAGTAGCGTATCCCTCCTCCAGATTCCCGCTCGGGCACTGGCGCCTCTGGTGCAGAGATGGCAGAGGCGGATCACCTGCTGATGTTGGCGAGGTCGCCGACCGTCAGCGGCAAGGATGATGATTGGACAGAGTGGAGCTTGCTTGTGCGGAGCCACGCGGCGGTGCAGGCTCCCGTCCCGAGATGACCCACCGGCCCAGATATCACAACAGACAGCATCCAGCACACGCTGGGTGCTGGAGGAGCGGCGGCGGTGAAGAAACTGTTCCTCATCTTGGTCATGAGCGTCAGGGGGCCGGCGCTGGCCGTGTTACGTGGCAGCCCGGAGGCAAACGGAACTGTGGTCTCGCGGGCCTTGGCCCAAAGATGCGGACCCAACACGGCGCCCAGAGTGCAGAGCTCGACGAGCTCGATCTTACTGACACCTCAGTTTCCCTCGGTTCCAGGCGAAAGGGAGAAGACGATGCACACATCGGAGACGATCTCGGGTGAGTGGTTCAATGCGCTCAGGAAAACAGCGCTGTTCAGGTACGAGGTTCCCAAGACGGTGAAGACGCTGCTGGACACGAGCAGATGGCCACGGCGACGGTGTAGTCCATGCAGAGCAATCTGCAATATTTGGCTGGCGTGCCAGTTCCACCGAGGCCGCGGCGAGAGCGAGGCCCAGACGCCGTGGAGTTCGATGCCTTCACGAAGAATGACTAGGAATGGCAAGGACCCCGAAGGCAAGGACAAGCGAAGCCGATGCAAAGGCGATGCCGATCATGACGGCAACCCTACGAGCATGAAGGCCGCTTGGGGCAAGGATGCGGACTGCTTCATATGCTTCAAGAAAGGCCATCTGGCGGCGGATTGTTGGCACGACCAGAAGGGCAAACCCGCAGGAGTCCAAAGGCGCAGGTAAGCAAGGCGCGAAAAACGGCACCAACGAACTCACGAGCAAGTTGCCCTGGTTCGTTTGGTAAGAAACAGAAGATGCCTTCACATCAACCTCGTTTGCAGCAGCGCCGTCGACTTCGGCGAGCCAGGTCCCAGGCCACGTGGCGAAGCTCACGTACCACGGGCACGAGGATGACTACCAGGCCAAATACATCTTCGCCATCGTGGCACGTTCGAATCAGGTGCACAGCGTTGGGCGCATCGTTGGCCCATGGGTTGCTATGCCAGTACTGGTGATTGATTGTGCCATCGAGCACGTCTGCTGCCCAGAGGACTTCTTTTCGCGTGGGATACAGCGCAGCTCTGCCCGAATCTCGAGGCAGCCAGCAGCCGCAATATCAGGCACCATGGCGAGCGGTCTGTCCAGTTGGAGTTGGCTGACAGTAAGATCATCATCATCACCATCATCACTTTCCAGGTGTGCGACGTGAGTTGGGGCCCATCCTGAGCGTCGGCATGTTCTCGGACTGCGATTCGAGGGCAAACGCCAACTTCACAAACGGAAGCCCCATGCGTCGGAGCGCCTTGCGAGGTTAACGTGGACAGAGTGAGGAACCATTGTGCGTTGCAGTGTTGGGTGGGGGAGCCAGGCCTCGTGGCGCCGCTCTCGTTGGGCTGCAGCTCGGGCAGCGCGCTCGAGAGCCGCGCGGCTCTGGCCCCGCGGGGGTGCGTGCCGTCGCCGCAGCAGGCCAGATCCAAGCGATTTCAGTCAACAGTATGAGGTTTCCACGGGTGGACGCCAATCCGACCTGACCTAGCGGCGCAGTGCGCGACCCGCCCATGCCTGGTTCGAGATCTGCATCGGGGCGAAA